CACCAGTAACACACTTTCCCTTGAAATTTTTGGGCATATGGGACCTAAGAGTAGTTACCAGAGTCAATGACTTCGGATGCACTATAGGATTTCCCTTGTAGATAGTATCCAATACAAGAAAATACCCATAATGGGTTGTGAGCAGTTTATTCATTTTTCTCTAAAAAATGGACACTTGATTTATGTTCTGAAACACAATTCAAAGCGTCATTCAGAGTCTGAGCAAGTAAATGGTGGACGGATTCCATATAGAACATGTGTCGTCACTGTGAAACTTGAGCATTTACTACCCCAAATTGGAACCGCCCAATTTAAATCTAGAAGCCATTCTCAAAATATTGAATTAGTCTTCCATCTCTTATTCAAATTGTTTCCTTGTACAATATAGTGTAAAGATCAAGACAGAAGCATATAACATTAGAATACAATACCTGCAAGTTGGCTAACTTGCTCTGTTGTAATCACAGCTGAGAAGCCTTTACTGTAATGTTGGAGGGCTGCTGCCTTTGCATTGCTGAGGCTGAAAAATGGAAAAAAAGTTAAACAGGAAGACTATGCACTTAAATGTGTTTGTTGCTGTTGAAAGGATTAATAACAATGCAGATCCCGGAGGATGGTTCCATTTTGGTACCTTGAGAAGAGAGAGCCTGTGATTGTGAATATAATGAATTGAGTGTTGGGTATACATATGACTATTCTTAGTTATAATAAAGAAGAAATACAATGATAAGGAGCAAGAACAATATCTAATAATGGGAAATATTTGGTAAGATATTTACCTATGTAATTAAATCATATCTCTAACCGTTGTATTTGCACTATATTATCCATATTGTTGAGCAAATACTTAGTTTCTCATTAAGTGCTTTACCGGGCAAGAATGTTACTTTGCAAAACATATTACATAGGTTGCTGCTTGCCAATTTGTGAGACATGATTTCTTGTTATTTCATGAGATCATCTGCTTGCACTTTTTATTGAATTCTGAATTTTCTGATGTAGAATTTCCAAAGCAGTAGTTGTCCATAAATTATGTGTTGTGTGGCTTGAGTCCTCTAGTGAATTGATGCAAAAGAGTTATCATGCATCAACTTAATTTCATATAAATGATGTGATGACCTTCTTTGAATGTCCGCTTATTATGTACCGATATTCTGTACCTGTGTTGATGCCAGAGTAATAATATCTGTGCAGTGCTGGTTGCTCAGCATGAAACCAATATTTTATAATCCTTTTTATTGATGTCACAAGCTTCTCATTGTATAAAACTTACATTTTCTCTATGAATGTCTCAATGTATGGGTAAATCACACAATTCGAATCACTACAGAATAATCATGATTGTCATCTTCATGATTGAGTTGTTTCAAAACTGTCTACGAATGTACAATTTCACTTGCTAAGTTCTCCCATCTTTCCTATTTTCCCTTTTTAATATCTGATTTTATTAATTTGTTTTCTGCCAGGGAATAGTTCTTGGCGTCCACTGCCGGCTTTCTTGTGAGGACAAGCTATATAAAATAGGTTGATGAAATCAGTATGGGATTGCTTGGTGGGGAATTATACCCGTGGCAAAATTTTCACCAATCTTTTGATGTACTCACTATATCGACTTTGCATATTTTAGATAACATATAGCACCTTCGTAAAGGTAAAAGATAATGGAAAGAATTTCTCGTTTTGCCATATGACTGACGTCAATGTTTGCTACGTGTAGAAAGATGGTTCTACTTCTGTACTAGCAAGAATATCAAGTTGATGTATTCATTGCTGTTTCTGGTTCTTGCGTTATGAGCAGCATAGAGTGTAGCCCCTTAATCATGTGATGAGATTTGGATACGATTGAATTTTGTAGTGAATAAATAAGTTCGAAATTTTGTTATTAGTTTCTATCAGACTTTTGTCATGGAAATCATAGATGATCAACGTAACCTATGTTGTTGCTTTTATGTTGTCTCTGTTAAGGTCAATCATTATTTCTTCCCTTCTGTTCAGTACAATGGTGTAACACTAAAACAAACATTCCTTTAATATAGGGATGGATGCTCAACTTCAAATATAAGGACGGTGCTCATTTTGAAAATTTGAGGATAAGGTTCCTATATTCCATAGGTGAACTTTAGTAACATTTATCTTTGGCACAATGCAAAATGCATTCAACAGATAAAAATTAAGTATAGTATTATCCAATGAATTTCAAATAAACAAAATTCCTCAGAAGAGGCAAAAAGATTGCAAGATTGAACTCCAATTCACATAAAGAAAATTGACCACAAAGGAGGCAGGATTATGGTAATAGGTTCAACTCTATTTTTTTTTTTTCATTTTTCAAGTGATTTGACGCTATGTATGTATGTTTCCAATAAAAGTTTATTCTTGTGTTGATGTTGATGGAGAGAATTATGGTGACTCTATGTAGTGGATAACGGGAGAGTAATAGTATCATACTGGTGAAGTAGTGATTGAGAGGATAGGGACGACAACTTCTTTCTGCACCTCCATAATTTCCCGCACCCCATCGAGTTTTGTAATGTGGATTCACCATATGAAATGCAAATTTTATATTTTAGATTACACTGTTCAGAATTTTTTTTATTTTATATTCTGAAATGGTTCATGTTGGATTTAGGGTGTAGGATCCCTCTTTAACAAACTCTAACCCTGTAAGAATATAATGAAACAATACCTCAAAATATAAATGCAAATAATTGAGAGTTTTAAGCCCCATTCTCATTTGATGATTTAGGACATTACATAAATTATTCAATCTTTTTCACCATCAAATCGAGTTTAGTAAAGGTTTTACTATCAAACAAGTTTATAAAACTCTTATCCACAACTTCATTCAATTTCCGATAATAGAAACAAGTTTATTATTTCGAAAGATTCTGCTTTATTCCACAAAAATTGAATGGTTTATGTTTACTTTTAACGAATACAATTAAAATACCCAAACCCTGAATTGAATGAGAAAAATCCATGTCCACCGACGGCACTGTCATCTATTTGTTTGCATAGCATGAAGTTACTGATGAATTCCTCTGAAAAAGATGCTTCAAAAAAGACATTATGTAACCCACATATCTCTTACGTTATTCACCACAAAAGGGTATTATATTTTCCATTGGTTCTCCATCCACCACGTAGCATAGTTAACAACTCTATAAATATAGGTCGATTGAGAATGAGCCATCAGTTTATTGAGTCCGGTCACCATACTTGAACCATAGACTCTGATATCAAGTTAAAAAATAAGACTAATTATTATTCTCAATCATGAAAAATACACTCTGATACTCTCTATTTGTAATAATATAATTCTTCTAAAAAGGGAAATAAGAAAATTAGGAAAGTAAAATAAAAGATTATATATCTATTTCCTCTAATTAGGAAGATTATAAAAATGTTATCTCAAATAACAACAGGAACAATGTCTGCGTAGAGGTCAAATCCAAGGCTGAGCACAAGATTCAAAATGCCTAGATGTATGCTCAACTATTCGGGTGTAGTTGAGTTGGTGCGAGGTTTAACTCACGTAACACGCCCATCTAAAACTTATTAAATGACATTCTCATGAGCAGATCGTTGAGGACTTTACTGTTAACACCTTTGTCCAATACATACGACCACTTGGTCCAATCACAAAATTCCATACCCCAACGGAAATGAGTCGCATAATCGCACACCTCATGGGGTGCCCAATCGTAACCCAGGATGATTGGGAAGGTTCAGTTCATCCCTTTTCTCAATAAAATTGACTTTGATTTTTGCGATTGAATCCTCCTCGAGAATGTTATAAAAAACTTGGCTCTTATTCTTTTTCTTAATATGTACACCTGTGGCTACATTGTTGACTGAATCTAAACTTTTTTCTTGGCTGATCCCTAGTTACCATGCAAAGATTTGAATGATGACGTCGTCAACTATGATTTATTATCAGCATACCACGATCGAAAGACTCCTCAGACGAAGAAAGGTGAATGATTAATATTATTACTTTAAGCAAGAAAACGAGCAACAAAGGAGAAACAACAGAAGAAAAATGTGAAAATGACAACCCAACCCTTCCCCTATATAGAAGTGGGTGGCTCAAGAGTCATGTAGTGTCAATCGTTAGATCTCTTTACATCTAACAATCCAAAATGATATAACATTTCACATTCTCTAGCATGCACAAAGTTCGAAGCGTCCTAAATGTTACCCTCAACGATCATAACCCAATACGAATGATGGATAATGAAGATAGTTGGCGTAGAGCATCGAACAACCAAAATATAAACTCATTCACAACTTCTAAGATTAGAGAGCCTGTGTATGGTATGTTCTGTCCGGTTAATTGACCAGACGATTAACCCATCACTCAACCAAAGGTGGTATTTGCAGGTAATGGATATAAATATTTAATTTTGTTTGTTGACATATGAGTATGAGTATACTATTTTCGATCTGCATAAATTATCAGTGAGTTTTATTTTATAAATTGAAGTGACCAAAATAAATTATTAATGTTAAGAAATATTAATAAATAATCATTTAAATTTTGACTTCATTTATTTTTTTTATTTAGACTTATGAAATTAAAGTTATTTTTGTAAAGATTAATTTTTTAAAATTTACATTTTGATCAAACTCATTTAAATTTGTTTTTTTTAATAAAGAAACCAAATTATTTAGTATTAATATTTTATTGAATAATTTAGTTTGAATTATACGTAAAAATTATTATATATGTGTATATATATATATATACATATATTATTTATTTATTCATCTTTTTAAATTATACAAAAGAAACTTGAAAATTAATATAAATTTAAGAAAATAACCTAAAGCCAAAATACATTTAATTTCCGTGGTAGTAAATTAGAAGGTCCACAAAGGATACACAACAGCTAAAATTGGAGAGTTCTAATATCACTTTCTTTTGTCTAACAACCGCTATGCACAAAGGACAGAGATTTTCAATTGCGTCCACGAAAACTCAATATATATCTTTCTTCTTTTTCTTGGCTCATAACACCAGTTAGAGTGTGTGAGATTTTCATCTCCAAGGAAAAGAAAGAATGGAAAAACAGAAAATGGGTGTGTTAAGGGCTGCAATTGGAGATGCAATTCTGACATCAACGTGGGTTTTCATCATCTCAACTTTGAGAATTGCTTCAACGGAGGTAGCACTTTTCCTCAGCCTCCAACCATTTTCATTTGCAGGTCTCTTCATCACCACAGTTTTGAACACCCTCTATGTGCTCACCATAAGCTTCATTGGAAGCGTGTTAGGCGGTGCCAGCTTCAACCCTTCAACCACAGTTTCATTCTACACTGCAGGTCTCAGACCTGATTCATCTCTTGCATCAATGGCTGTTAGGTTCCCTGCTCAGGCATTTGGTGGGGCTGTTGGAGCCAAGGCTCTTCTTCTTGTTATGCCATCACAGTACAAGCAGATGCTGAAAGGTCCTTTTTTGAAGGTGGACTTGCACACTGGTGCCATTGCTGAGGGGTTCTTGACCTTCACTCATAACATGGCTATTCTCTTTGTGATGCTGAGGGGTCCCAAGAACCCTTTTTTGAAGGTCTATTTGCTTTCTGTTGCTACTGTTGCTTTGGTTATCCCTGGTGCTGGGTTCACTGGCCCTTCCATGAACCCTGCCAATGCCTTTGGATGGGCCTTTGTCAACAACAAGCACAACACCTGGGAGCAGTTTTATGTCTATTGGGTATGCCCTTTCGTAGGAGCATCCTCTGCTGCTTTCATCTTCAGGTCTCTATTTATGGCACCAATCAAGCACAAGAAGGCTTGAAATGCATTTTAATTGCTTCTTCTTCCCCTCTGTTGTGTGTATCTCTGTATGTTTCTATTATATGGCATTCTATTATCCTTCGTTAATATTTAAAGTTTTTTAGATTTAGTTATGTTTAAGAGAAACGATATCATATGACATATTTTTATATGAAAGTAAAATCGTCGTAAAATTATAAATTTTTGTATTTAAAATAAAAATAATAAAAATAAAAAAAGTAGTTTCAAAGTAATATAAAAAATTTAGATGTGTTAAATTATATTTTTTTATTTTTAATTCAAATTTTTCTTAAAAGAATTACTTTATTTATGGTTTTAAATATTCTTTATTTTTGTCTAAGTAGTATTTCTTTATTTTTTTTTAATAGAATTAGTTGGTGTTACTTTCATCTTCGATGTTCAACTTTACTCTTTATATCTTAAACCTTTTTGAAAGAAAAGTACGATGACGAGTGATTTAGGAAAAATTTAAAAGAAAATAAACAAATTAATTAGTAAATTGGAGATGAGAGGATAAAAGTGTTAAAAGAATAAACTTTAAACTTAATTTAACTCGTAAAATTTACGTCCACTTATATATTATAAATTAATCTTATTTATAGTTTAAGTCAATTTTAAATAGTCATGAATATATTTCACTAATAACAAAGTTTAAATAAGAAAAACTTAAAAATTATTTTGAGTAGAGCAAAAGTTTTTTATCATAATAGTTGAAAATATCAATTTGTTATTTACTTTTTTAAGTTTCAAGTAGTTTAGAAATTTACATATTTTTAATTGATTGTTTATTAAAAAAATTATTTTGTTGAGTATTTAAAACATTATTTTAATTTTGTTTAAATGTTATGTAGTTTGATTTTACCTTCAAGAGGATTACTTAATTTTTGTTTTGTCTTTTTATCTTTATCGAACAACTTATTCCAACCCACTTAAATCTTTTCAAACTTTCCACTTAAATATCCTTTAATTTATCGGTCAATTCATTTATGAAAATAAATGAATGAGTTAGTGATTTGAATGGGATTGGAAAGGAATAAATAAGTTAACTAATGAGTTTGAGATGAGAAGATAAAAGTATTTAGTCAGGACATTCTATTAATGACAAAAATCAAATACCAAAAAATCTAAATACAAAAGTTGAATACTCATTAAAGATTTTTTTTAATTAAAACTTAATTGAAAGTGTTCAAATGTATGAATTACTTCACACTTTATTAAACTTTGTAAATATTAATCTTTCGATTCTAGGTTAAGAAATTTAAAATTCAATTTGAATACAAACCTTTTGATAGAAATTTATAATATAAAGAACCATTAATAAATTTAAGCTTAATTATCAATCCCAAATTTAATTTTTATTCTAAAAAATTATACTTTTACAAGCTTACACCGACTATACTAATTAATAAAGAATAATACAACAAAAACAATAACAAGAAATTAGTGAGATTGAATTTTAATAAGAAAATCAAATTGAATTGATTTTTTTTCCTTCATGATTTGCTATTGTCTTTGCATTGAAGAAAAAAAATATAAAAAAAACATGTGCATAAATCTTATTCTAATTCTAAGTATGTTGTAGAAAACTATCTTAAATTCATTTTTAAAAAATATTCAATAAAAGTTTAGAAATATTTTTAATTTTTTGAATTCAAGAAAATGTTTCTTATGAAAATAATAAATTTAAAGATAAAAAAAATCATGATAATGAAAATTTTTAAACGGTATAAGAAACTATAATAAACTAAAGTAGAATTACTTCAATTAATGTATTTGAAAATCCTTCTTTCAATTATGTTCTAAGGTATAAATGACTTTTATAAATTTAACATAAATAGAAGTTTTTCCCTCTAGAAAAGTACACTATTTTTTTCTCATATATTCACTTTGATTTTCTCTAAAAATTCTAACACATGTATGTAAACTAGGACAATTCACCATTAATATTCATCTTAAGCCAATTAGTGAATGAAATTTATCACATTACATTTGTAAAGAAAACTACCCTACTCTCCTTTTTTTAATATTAAAAAATTTCAGCACCAAAAAATCAGAAATAATTTTACTCATATACTTCTTAGATTTATTCCAAGCCAAACGCACTAATTTCTTAATTTTAAAAACAATATAAGTAAAAACAACTAGATCTTGAAATCTATAATGATTTCTCATCCTCTAAATCATTCATATAATCACAATAAAGACAACTACTTTACTTATAATAAGAAAAGAGCTACAAGAAGACTTTATAAACTAAACAACCAAATTTGAAAAGCAAAATGAAAAATCTTGAAAAACTCCTTTCAACCATTGCCACAAAAACAACATAATAATATTGAAAAAATAAATGAGAGAATGATTAAACAGTATTTCCAAACAAAGAACACATATAACATAAAATCACTCTCCTTTTTTGAACCTCTAAATCAACAATAAACAATCATACTACAACTTTCGAAGAATCAATGTTTTTACTGGTAGCACAACATCCAACCAAATTAAATTCCTCCAATCCACACATTCCATACCAGAAGAGTAAAAAATTTTAGCAATTTTTTGAGAAAACACACAAATATCATATAAAATCCAATTAAGCACATCCTAATTCTCATTAACCATCAATGAAGAAAATTCACATAAATTGACAACAAAGGAAGGAAAGTTTTAACGAGTATCTCTTGAAGGTGAGCTAATAATATAGTATAACCTTACTCTGCCAAATAAGAAATTCTAATAAATATAAATATGCAAATGTCAAAACACCAACGTTCATTCCAAATATTAATACAATCACCCTTACTTAGAGGCCAAAAATTATTTTCAAGAATGATATCATATAGATCCAACTCTCAATTTAAAGTGCTAAATCACATAAATCCTTCATTTACCAAATAATATAAAATACGTAGCTTCTTTATATATTCTCTTTTATACTTAATTTTTGTTTTATTTTGAAGAACTTTGGTTTCGCTAAAACAAGTTTTATTCTCTCAACAATTCAACTAATTTGATATTTAAAAAGTTTTATGAGATTTCCAAAGTAATTTCCATCTTATCAAACTCTTGATTAAGATTTGTTTTCCTTTACACTATTTTGTTAATTGAAATGTCGAATTGTTTATAAGACACACCATTAATCATTTTGAATTTTTTAAATATTTTTATTTTTTGTTTAATTTTATCATTTAAAATATTGTGTTGATGATTTTTTATATAATTATTTTTATTTTCTATCTCATTCTCATAAGTATAACTTTACCACCATAACAATATGAAGACATTATACAATAATTACTCTTATTATTATGAATATTGTTTATCATCATCCAAGGATGAAAGATTTATGTTTAAATTGGAATTATTATTAATTTAATATTTTTTCTGGTGATTTTGTTCAAGTTGTATTATAAATTAATCTTTATTAGTGTACAGAAGGAGAAGGAGAGGTTTCACTAGGTTTCACTAGAACTTAGTGAAAAAAAATTAAAGAGACATTTGTAATATTTTTATACTTGAATATTTGTTTTCTTTTATATATTTTTTTAAAAGTATTTTTTAACTTTATTAACTTTGTTTCATTAATGTTTATGAGATTAATATATGTTTCTTATTTTTATGAAATTTTATTTATGTATACTTTATATAATATTTTATATAATTCTTTCACTTTTATCGAGTTGTTATTTGATATTTAATTTAAAACTTATACAATTATAATTTCTTTCTAAATAGTTTACATGATAAAAATGAATATCACATTTAACAATATTGACAAATATAAGGACAAAAATAATATTGAGCTTTTGAGGTACAAGACAGTAAAGACTAACAAGAAAACAATAATTACTTTCAACGAATTTGTGCACATCACCCCTAATGAAAGGGGTTCAAGCATATATGTTGACAGTATATCAAGGGTTTTTATTTCAAGAAACAAAAAAAGAAAAAAAATTATGTTAAGGCTTCATTTCAGAATTATTCACTTTATATTATACATTTTTGGTAAATGAAAGATAAATTCATTTTCAATGGAGTATGTTTCAAAGTCTCATAGTGATTCTTACATTGATAAACATGAAGTCAAAAATTGGAAACTCGATTAATTGATTTAATTATATGATGAGATTTGCACCCCACTTATATATTATAATTTGATCTTATCTCTAGTGGATGTGTGACTTCCAATACAATCCCTTTATGCCGAGGTATAAACATAACTCTGATACCATGTTATGAAGAAGTGGACTTAAAGTCTAACTCAACCCCAAAAACCCGGCCTGTATGGTAAGGTTTGCGGCCACTTATATATTATAATGTGGCCTTATCTCTAGTCAACGTGAGACTTCCAATAGAAAATCTATAGCTTTTGTCCAAATAATACAAACTTAAATTTTAGCTAAAAAAATTATACAAAGTTCATAATTTTTGTCAAAAAATTTTACGATAAAGTTTGTAGATTTCTTTATATAAATTACATGATGAATGATAATATTTGTCTTCAAATGTAAATCTTAAGATATTCAATCACATAAATTTATCATACAATTTTATTTAAATTTGATACTCTTATTTGTAAATTTGTTTTTACTTTGACTATATTATTTTTCTATCAAGTAAATATTTATTGAATTTATAATTGATCACAAATTTTCTTATTTGAATAATTTTGTTTTTTGAAAAATCATATAAAAAAAATCTGACAAAATGGGTAAGGAAGTGAAATTGTAAAAAAGCATACAACTCAACATATATGGTATTCTTATACATAGGCAAGCAAACTCTCACTTTCTATATAACTCAAACCATCAGAACTTATTACAATCTGCTGCTCCAAACAGCAACAAGGAGATAAAAAAGTTGAAAGGTAGCATTACATCCATATAGTATAAAAAGTATAGACTTACTACTACAAACAAAGCTTTTGGGTAAAGTATTAAAACAGTGACAGATTTTGAAGTTTCCAAGGGGAACTCTCTTCAGCAGCTACAAGAACATAGATTCTAAGTGAAGCAGACTTGTAGAAGCTGCCATGGAGTAAAAGATAGGTTACACTGAAGAAGACCTGAG